GCCTCTGTGTTCGGCTGCTCCCCGCGCTTCCCTGCCGAGGCCTAAGCAAAAACCCTTGGACGCTTGCGACCGGGTGGTCCTGGGGTGGGATTCAGCTGTCGCGCGGCGCGCCGCCCACGACCCCCCTGGGTCGAGGCGCGACGCTTGCAGCTGCAAGCCCTATACCCTAAATCGTAATCACTTGTAAACCCTAAACCCTGTACCCTAAACAATGTACCCTAAACCCCATATGAACCCCATGGGTCCTTGTTGTCCTGTGCCAGGTCAATCTCTTCTGCGGTCCAGAAAGATGCCTCGTGCTTCTTGTACATCTCCCAGACCTGATTGTTAACCCAGACCCCTGAATAATGAACCCCCTCCCCCAAATAGGGATTATAATCGGGATCCTACTATTTAGGCCCTTCAAAGGAGGGGGTTTATTAATCATGGGTCTACATTAGGGTTTAGGGTTAAGGGTTTAGGGTTACTTTTTGAATGCCCTCCCCAACACAACATGAACACCCCTTTCAAAACAGGCTTCCTGCGGCTCCATGTCAGTGGTGCAGCTGGGAAAGGGGTTTAGGATCCAAATCGTTGGTGTTTGGGGCTTGGGCTTCAGGATTGAGGTTCAAGACTTTGGGTTCAGGATTTTTTGCCTCGGGGTTGGGCTCAGGATTTCGAACCTACACCGCCAACCCAAATTATAGCTCCTTGCCACGGATTATTGTTGATGGTAGCGTCGTAGCAACAGTACTCATACCTTATCGCGACACGAACACCCCAAACCCTAAACTCGAAACCCTAAACAATGAAGTAATGGGGTAATGGGGAGATGGGTCTTTCTCAAACGGAAGTAGACAGACGAAAAGAACACAGACTGGGAAAATGCACACCAAAAAGGCACACACACACACACACACACACACAACTAACTGGTGGTTGGTAGGCAAGAGAGGAATACAGTCCCTACAGAAACCCTATGTAGAAATATTCCCCTTTTCCCTACTAACAGCAGCAACTCTAAACCCTAAATGAGCTGAGGCAAGGACTTCTGGGTACTGCAGCGGGAACATAACCCAGCGGCGCGGATTCTCCTTGAGGAGGCGGTCGTTCTTCTCCAGCTGCTTGAACTCCTGGGGTTTAGGATTTAGGGTTAGGGTTTAGGGTTCAGGGTTTAGGGGGTGGAGGGATCCACAGGAATTTGCAAGGCAAGGGACGAGGGCACTAGTTTCATCTTAGGGCTTTCTGATTGAAAGAGCATGTCAACCAAGTGGGCATCTTGTTGTTCAAGGCTTCTCGTAATATCATGCATTTGGGGCTCTCTGCGCTAAGGGGTTTAGGTCTTGGGGTTAGGTGCTTGTTGGTGTTCAAGGACACAAACCCGAACGCACACCCAAGTTCATGAGCAAACTTCCTTTCCCCAAGGCTCAAGGAACCGCCTCAACCACCCCCTAGCGGAGATTCTTACTTGGAGAGTCATGGGGACTTAGGAAGTCGGCTCATAACCCTTATAAGCCCTGTAATAACCCTAGTTATCCCTATTACTGACATACTTACTAAGAAATCGCAGGACCCTAAACCCTAAATCCTCAACAATATATGGCAGCTTCCATTTTCCTAAGTCCCCATAGCCCTCCAAGTAGGCCTTGTTCCGAGGGAGGGAGGCTGTCCTTTGGGTATGGAGGATAGTCCTCATACCCTAACCCCTAAATCGTAAACACCAAACCCTAAACCCTGCACCCCAAAACCCTAGACCCGAGAGGCTTAAAGGCGAGGCTTCGGAGTGAATGAGATAGGGCCTGGAGAGGGGAAGCTTTTTCGGGGGATATTGGGTTTCCTCGGGGGTTTATATAGGGGTCTACAGGGGTATATAGGGTTTTATAGAAGGGCATATAGCGCTTATATAAGGTTTCTATGGGGTATTTAAAGTTTAGGGCTTAAGGTTTCCCCAAATTGGGGGATACCTTTTCGGGGTCCTATAATAAGGAGTTTAGTCTGGGGTCTATATTGAATTCTCCCGATTTGGGGAGACGACCACATGTACCCAAGGTTGATCGCAGCTGCATCTTGAACTTCGAGTTGGGTGCTCCAGGTGTTCCACAAAAACTTGCTGGGTTTTAGTAGGGAGTATGGGAATATACTATATAGGGATCCTTATTCCCTACTAAGCACCAGTAAGACAAGGGGATACCCAAGTCATCCAGGAGTACATATCTGGCTTCGAAACCCTTAAAGGTCTCTACGGGACTATTTGAGAAACCCAAAGGTCGGAGTCTCCCGTGAGCCTGTGATTCAGGAATTGATCAAATTGCGCCCCGCTTCTTCTAATACTTGTTGATAAGGACCACCGACCAGTGTGAGGAACCCCAAACCCTAAGCCCTAAACCCTAAGTCCGAAATCCCAAGCCCTAAACCCCCCCTTGACAGGGATTGATGGTCCAAGTCGATCGAGGGCAACGCCAGTAGTTTGTCCCCAGCCCGCTGCTAGGATCAATTAACAAGGATAAACGGCGAACCCAATAATGTAGACCCATGATTAATAAACCCCCTCCTTTTAAGGGTCTTAATGCTAGGATCCCTATTATAATCCCTATTGATGGAATGGGGTTTATTAATCATGCGTCTGGGTTACCCCACAAAGTGCAGAGTAACTATCCCTGATGTGGACCCGGATAATTGTGACCCATGTCCTCTGAGACCCGGGTCTTCTGGGCATGGACGGAGCGGGTGTTCGTCACCTAAAGGGTGATTCCGCATGAACCTTGCTTCTGTGAATTAGGTAAGATAATGTTCATCCTACAGAGCAGTATATAACCAGAAGGAGGATAAATTGTTTAGGATGGCTACTAGTATTTTGTTGTGGTTTTATAAGGGGGTCGAAAGTACCTCTTAATAAAATGCTACTCACACGAAATAATCTGCGGAAGTTAAAGGTCGAAGGGCTGGCTGCAATGTACCATGTCTGAGTTTCACAAGATGGGGGGAGGGGGGGGGGCCTTGGGGATCCTAAAGATGCCAACAGACAGATAGACAAAACGGGGGGGTTCTGGGGAAGACAACAACAAACAAATAGAAAAAGTGAAGGTGTTATAGGCGTCCTTCTGATGGATTCTACTGACAAGGACTACTTTGAGAAAATATGCTTGTAGAAAACTCTCAAGAACTACACCCTAAACCCTAAACCCCAAACCCTAAACCCTAAACCCCAAGCTCTGAGCTCCTGGACTCCCAGAGCTCGTAACCCTCAATCCTGAACCGCAAGAATCGTCCAGAATGAAGATTCCTAGGGGGACCCTGAAACAGGACAGACCTCCTCAAAAAAGGACGCTGAGAAAGGAATTCTAAGGGAACCCAGGGGATTCTCAGAGGTCTGTTCTATGTGGGCTTCTCGGATTCCCTACGCCCTAAACCCTAAGCTCTAAACCCTAGACGCTGATCCCTAAGCCCTAAAGCCTGAACCCTAGGCCTTAAACCCTAAACCCTGATCCCTAAGCCCTAAACCCTACACCCTAGGCCCTAAACCCTAAGCCCCTCATCCCTAAACCCTAAGTCCTCAACCCGAAACTCTGATCTCTAACCCTGATCCCTAAGCCCTAAGCCCTAAACCCCAAGCCCTAAGCCCCAAACCCTAAACTTTGACAGGCCCCGTAGGACCTCCATGTCAGCAGCCTCAGAGGCTTCCGGAACATATCCGTGGGATGCCATGTCTACAAGGCGCGCCAGCGACGGGGCGGCAAAGGGCGGAGCACGAGCAGCTGCAAAATGCTGCAGGCCCAGGGCTTAGTGTTGAGGATTGTGGTTGGGGTTATATTGGGATAATGGAAACTACCATTTCGGGTGTAGGGTTAAGGGTTTAGGATTTGAAGTGAGGGTGTGAGGATCAGGGATTAGGGTTTAGAGTTGAGGATTTAGGGTTCAGAGTTTAGAGTTGTGGGTTGAAGCTTTGGAGCTTGCGCTTGGGGGGGTGACAAATACTGGGTGGAGAGTTTAGTGTAGGCTGGTGAAAACAGGGTGAGGATAGGGTTGAGGGTTATGTATACGCCCCCTCAAGTACAAAAGAGAACGGGGTATACCAGGATCTTGTTAAAATATACCCAAAGCCATATTCTATCTACTTAAGGGGGACCATAAACCCTAAACCCTAAACCGTAGTTTCCATTTTCTTTTCCATTATCCCTATATAACCCCTATATAACCCCAATATTACCCCAAAGGAGACCCTATTTAAGGGGGGCTATAGGCTTTTTCCGTCATGTTCTATCTACTTGAGGGGGACTATGCGTTCACGCTTCTTGCTCAAATTTGGGGGCTCTCCGGGTAAAGTCTCGCTGAGAAGTTCCGCTAAGGACTTGGGATCCTTACCTCTGAGTTCTGGTTTGCAACTCGTAGGGTTTAGGGTTTAGGATTTAGGGTTGAGGGTTTAGGGTTTAGGGTTGAGGGTTTACTGTTTAGGGTTGAGGGTTTAGGGTTTAGGGTTGAAGGTTGAGGGTTTAGGGTTGAAGGTTGAGGGTTTAGGGTTTAGGGGGTGGGCAGCGCGCAGAAGGAATGATGCGGCCGTAGGCCCATTGATCTCTCTGGGGCTACAGGCTACATCTTCAGATCCGCAGGCAACTACCATTGATGAACAACATACTGTATGACCCAAGCATGCTACACTACAATAATTCCTGGGATTTAGGTGCATACGGCCCGTCCATCAACAACATGATTAAACTCCCCACAGCCTCCGCTTTGTAGTTCATTAGCGTGCTAGGTAAGTGGACCTGAAGCATCCTCGCTGCTCCTCTAGCCCTGCCCGATTCACGGCCCTCGAACCCCAAACCAAAATTACCTAAATCCTAATCACAAATAATAGGGGCCACATTACCTAAATCCTAAATCCGCAACCCTGAACCCCGCACAGCCGTTCTTCCCATGGTGGCCTGAGCATAGTAGGAAAGCCATCAGTCAGGGGCGGAGGCATCATGTCGGCTTGCTGCTGAGGGCCGAGGGTCTTGCTTGTTGGTGGTGCCTAAGGAATGGATGAATGGAAAGATGGAAAGCACTGTAGGGTTCAGGGCTCAGACTAGGCGACGGAAGGTTAAATTTCGAAAGCTGGTAGTCCCTATACATCCCCTCATCATCGCCCCTACATCGTGCTCCTTATGCCCTATGCCTTTCTTCCCTACACCCTAAACCCTAAACCCTCAAACCCTAACCCCTAAACCCTAAATCCTAAGCCCTAACCATCCGCAAGCTTGGGCTCACCAATTTCGTGGCACCGCCGAAGGATAACTACAATGACTAGAACATCAGTATGCAAGAACCAAAGCCCCAGTATGAGCTCCTGTTTGATGTCTACTAGAACCCCTGAATAACACGGCGCAGGCTTTGGGAGCACTTTGGCTCCTAGGCGGGAAGGACATGCAGCGTGAGGCGAGGCCAGGAACAGGGCTTGGGACCGATTCTGGGAGCTTGCAATTATAAAAGATCCTAGTATAGTACTCTCCATTTTATTTTTGGACATGGGTAACTATGAGGGTCGACGAGTCGAAGCTGGACAGAGATCACAATATGGGATCATGGGATCCTGGTATCTCCAGGGATTACAATACAGGGTTTAGTGCTTAGGGGGTTTTACAGAATTGTACTACCATGCCCCTACAGGTACCGTAGTCCCCCAGGGCTCAAGCAGCTAGCAAGGACCAGAGAGACCTGTAAACCCCCTAATGTCTGGCTTCGTCGGAGGGGTCGTTATTCAGAGATTGGCTGACGCATAAACACCTGAACCGTTGCACATCAGTTTTCCAAATCCTCAAAGAGCTCTAGAATAGATCCCGGCCCGACACGTAACAGTCATAGTAAGGTGAGACCCCTACACACCCCTATTGATACTACAACAATAGGTCTTAGAAACATGCTCCGCAGAAGAGAAAAGCAATCATGTTTATTTGGACCACCACACCTCTGGTACTGTATGAAACAAATTTTGACAATGACATGTTGAGATTTAGGGGTTTCCCAAAATTAGGGGTACCTTTTGGGGGGTCCCCATAATAAGGATTATAGTATTTTGGGGTCTGTATTGAAGTCCCATTATCTTGGGAAACGACAAGTACTGGGTGGAGAGTTCAGTGTAGGCTGGTGAAAACAG